ACCCACTTCACCCCTTCCATGAGGCCCCACCCCTGCCCTGCCTCTTCCCACCCCTTCCCTGCCCCCATTCCAACACCTTCCCCGAAATCCCCACCCCAATTCTGCCCCCTCCCTCCCTGCCCCTAGGGGGTGCAGGAGGGGTGCAGCATGGGGCTCAGGGCAGTGGGTTGGGATGCAGGAGGGATGCGGGGTGAGGCAGGGGGTTGGGGTGTGGGGTGCAGGGTATGGCAGGGGGTTGGGGTGCAGGGTGCAGCAGGGGGCTCAGGGCAGGGGGTTCGGCTGCAGGAGGGGTTCGGGGGGCAGGATCTGGCCTGGCGCATACCGGGGGGCAGGCAGGCTCCCTGCCTATCTGCCCTGCCCCCGCAAGAGGCTGGAACATGGGGAAGGGGGGGCGGAGGGGCTGTATGTTTCTGTTGCTTGAGGCATCGCTTCTAGCAGCTTCCATTGGCTGCGGTTCCCTGTTCCCAGCCAATGGGAGCTGCTGGGGGCACGGCCTAAAGTAACAACCACATACAGCCCCTCCGCCCCCCCTTCCCCACGTTCCAGCCTCTTCCCGGAGCTGCGCAGGGCAGGCAGGCAGGGAGCATGCCCTGCTCCCGGTGCACGTCTGGCCGCCCTGGTAAACACTGGGGGAGGTTGGGGGGGCTCGCAGGTCGCAGAAAATCACGCCGCGGGCCGTGTGTTTGAGACCCCTGGGCTAGATAGTGCTGCTGCTATTCAAGGAAGAAGGAAGTTTTACCCTGCACTCAAACAGCAGAGGGAGCACAATATTGGCTCCAGTAGGGAGAAGTCAGCAGTTGGCTTCCTTCCTGTGGGCTCTGCACAGCAGCTCTTAATGGTGGGAAGCAGTTTGGTTTCTACAAAAATCCAGAGCAGCAAATACCACGCTTCCTGGAGCACTCGCCCAGACTATCAGTAGGGAGTCTGGCTTGGGTTAAAAAACCCAGGACAGGTCCTAAATTCAAATAAACAGGAACATTTTGAATGATGGGGCTTTAATTCCATTTGCCGCACACACCATTTCATATTTAGTTAGATATTTATTTCCTGTCTGTGAGTGTATGTTATTTTACATGTGCACATCAGGGCCGGCTCTAGGATTTTTGCCGCCCAAAGCAAAAACAATTTTGGCAGCCCCCCCGTTCTTTAATTACCCCACCCCTGGCCCCATCTCAACTCCGCCCTTCCCCAAATCCCCAGCCCTGCCTCCTCCCCCGAGGCTCTCAAGCCTAGGAGGGAGGGAGGGAGGGGGAGAAGCGGCGCCCGCGCCGCGGCCACTCGGAGTCTCCCCCTCCCTCCCAGGTTTGAGAGCCTGGGAGGGA